CCCCCGCCTGCCTGACTCACGGAGACTACTACGACAACCTGTGTGTGGCAAGCCCCGCCTGGGCCCACAGGCTGGAAGCAGCCCCCTGCGGGAGCGACCGCCCATGGCCCAGGCACCTGTATGGGCCACTGCCGCCCTCTGACAGGGGCCTGCGTGCCCTCCAGGGTAGCTTTGGCCCAGGCGGCGAGACGCCCGCGGGCCTCTGGTCCACTGCCTCCTCCCAGCGAGTGAGCCCGCTCCTTCCATCCCTGGGCCTGGAGAACGGGGCCCCTGCGCCACCCCAGAGTCCTCCGGTGTCTGTGCCCCCGGCCTCCGGCCAGGGAGCCCACCCGAGGGCAAACTCAGAGCTGGGCTGTGAGGCTTCGGGCACGAGGCCCAAACCCACCGCGGACCCCCGGCCTTGGTTCCAGGACGGGCCCAAGTCTTACCTCTCCGGCTCTGCCCCACCACCTTCGCCAGCCATCATGGATGCCCGCGGGCCGGATCCTAAGCCCAGCTGTGTAGACCCCAGCCCTGGGCCCAAGCTTGGCCCTGCCAGCCCCTTGCAGGAACTGTCGTGCAGAGAGGGTCCCGCTGGCTGGTGCCCGGACGGCAGCCTGGGCCCGGGGCTCCCAGAGGCCCCTGGCTCCCCCAGGGTGAGGCTGCCCTTCCAGACACTGCTCCCGGGCCCCGAGCTCGGCCCCTCGACTGCGGAACTCAAGTTAGAAGCTCTCACCCAGCGCCTGGAGCGCGAGCTGGATGCCCCCCCGAAGGCTGACTACTTTGGTGAGTCACCCCTGCTGGGTGCTGGGCCCATCTTCAAGGAGCAGCCTGGGCTGAGCTAGCTTCCTTGCTGTCTGCCTGCCTGCCTGCCTTCCTTCTCAGCTGCTGCTTCTGGCTCAGAAACATGAAAGCACCCTTGGCTGGAAGCAGTTCTCACAGCTGGGATCACCCACGTGTGAAGGGTGGCAGGGCGGTGGCTCCCAGAAGTGGGAAATGCTCCGACTTAAGGCTTCCAGGGTTTTCCGCCACCTCTGAGCCTCCTCAGTGCTTTCTCAAGGCCGCCTGTTCCCGCTGGCAGTGGCTGTCTGCCACGTGTGCATAAGTACTCGTGGGTGTGTCTTGGGAGCCGGGGAGCCGTTGCCCAGAAGGTGGCCTTTCCAGGGCAGTGGTTCTCCAAGTTTGGCCCCTTGCTCAGGAGTTGCTTAGAAATAGAAATTCTCCATGGAGACACACACCTGTAATCGCAGCACTCAGGAGGCTGAGGTAGGAGGATCACAAGTTTGAGGCCAGCCTGGACTGTAGAGAGACCCTGTCTCAAAAAGCAGAAACAAAAACTGGGCATTTCTGAAACTCTGGGATGGGACCCAGCATGGGTGGGGGCTGCCTCTAGGGCCGAGGTGCCCCACATCCCATGCCCACCAGACCATGTGCTCACCCAGCACCTGTACCCAGCAGGGCACTGAGGCGGATGGAAGAGTTCCGGCTGATGTCGCAGGTTCTGTTTTATTCTCTTTCCAAGCTGCAGCCTGGGAGTCTGCTGGTGCTGACCCTTCTCTGGAGTTGGAGGAGGCAGTGGGAGGCGGCCGTTGGGTAGCAATTTACCTGTCTTCCAGGCGGCAGCCGGGAAAGGGAGCCGGTCCTTCGGTGTCTGAGGCCTTTTTTTGCACATTTTTTAAACTCTGGGTGATGGGGCACCAGATTCCCCAGCCTGGGGCCCGCGGACTTGGGCGTGACCCGTAGCAGCGCTGCGTGTTTGGTCCTCCTGAGAACTCCGTCTCCAGCCTCACCCCAGGCAGTCAGAAGCCCAGGCTACTCTCCTGGGTTCTTGTTAAAGTTCTGGCCCTTTCTGTTGAGACCTGACCCCTGGGAAAGTGGCACCTGGGTAAAGCCCCAAAGGAAGCAAGGGACAGGACTGTGCGGACAGGCGAGAGGACGCTCGGGGCGGGAAGGGCAATGTGCCCAGCGTAGTTGCCTTGCGCACACAGACAGCTAGGAAAACCTGTTGCATTCATACATTTGTTCATCTCTTCGTTCATTTTTGCAGTTCTGGGTGTGGAACCCTGGACTCAGGTGCGCTAGGCGAGCGTTCCAGCGCGGAGCTCACCCCGAGCCTGTGTGCGTTTATTTCTTACAAAAATTGAAGTAAGCTGGGCGTGGTGGCACACTGCTGTAATCCCAGCACTCGGGAGGCTGAGGCAGGAGTGCCTCAGTTCACCGGCAGCTCCGGCCACAGAGCAGCTGGCTAAAAAAAAAAAAAAAAAAAAAGTGAAATTTGCATAACAAAACAAACTACTTTGAGTGAGCACTTTGTGGCATTGAAAACCTTCAGCGCTGTGCAGCCACCGTCCAGATCTAGTTCCAAAACATTTTCATTGTCCCCACATTGACAGTTTGCATTCTGTCCCTCTGGATTTACCTCTTCTGGGTCCTTCCCACAGTGCAATCTCGTATTTTTGTCTTGAAGCATGGTGCTTGCACACAGAAAACCCAGGCGAGGGTTCCTGGGCCTGCAGCCTTTGCCAGGGAGAGGCTGCTCGCCTGCTGTGGCACGGACGTCTGTCGGTCCGTCCGTCCGTCCGTCCACTCTCCCTGGCCGCCGTGTGGCAGGAAGTGGCCCTGAGACTGAGCTGGCCCGGGTCACGCCCCACTGGCGCAGAGTGGGCTGCACAGCCCCTGGTGCGTCCGCTCCGCCCCACTGGAAGCGTTTGTCTGCGCCAGACTTGCTGAGCGGTGGTTAAGCCCGACTTCTCAGATGTGACAACAGCTCCGGTGCGGGGTTCCGGTCAGGACAGAGAAGCGGGTGTTTGGGCCTCAGCCCCTTGCCGGCTCAGTGCGCCGCTGCCCCTGCTCCCTGACTCGGCAGGCAGAGTGCGAGGCCTGTTCTGGGGGAGGAGGAGGAGCGCCTGCCGGTCTGAGCCCGGCTTCTCAGTACTGACCCGACGGAGCTGGCCCAGCAGCAGCTGCCTTGACGTCTCTGTGGGTTTCCTGATGCGGGCTCCTAGCGGGGCGCAGCGGTCCTTCCTGCTGTGCCTCTGTGGCCTCTTGGGTCTGTCTGACCATGGAGAAGGACATAAAGACAGGCTTTTTAAACGAATAAGTTGCTTTCTAACTAGCGCAGTGCTAATTGTGCTTATTTACAGTATAGGGCACGGTGTGACATAGTGCATGTACACAGGCATGGTTGGAAATACAGTGGACATTTACATTAAAACGTTTTTACGTTAAAAGCAGTGTTGCAGAAAACACACATTGCCAAGAATCCCCCTCAGAGTGCTCCTCTCGCTTCCAGCACGCTCGTCCCACCGATAGCTCTGGGGTCCCTTTCCTGAGGGTCTGTACGCGGTGTGAGCGAATACAGTGACCGCCGGCGCCGCACGACGCAGTCCTTGTCCACCGCGGTCACCGGATCTGGCACTGCCCAAGGTCAACACGACCAGGGAAGGGAAACGTTTTGAATCCACGCAGGACACGGAGGCAGCCGGGACAGCGCAGCTAAAGACCCTCAGGAAGGAGCGCTGCAGAGCTGCCGAAGAGGGTGGCGAGGACCGTGGGACCAGTGACGGCCTGAGGGGCCTCGTGGCCACGTGTCCCTGGCCGTAACGAGTGCTGTTTATTTAAACGTCACTGTGTTTTCCACTGGTGCCTCGTGTGGTGTGTAAGCCAGGCCTGGCTGTGGGTGTATCTGCCGGCGTTTCTGACTCCTCTGTGTTGGGGACCGTGAAGTCCCTTCCTCTAGCTACGGGGCTCAGTCAGCTCTTCGCTAATCCTCCGTCTGGCTGCGCCGTGGTGCCATCAGCGCCCGCACCCGTCTTTCTTGCCCCTTCTTCTGGTGTTGTGACGAAGGGCTGGCGTGGCTGGGCATCCTCAGTCCTGGGTGTTGTTCCTGCTGGAAGACACTGCCCAGCACCCCACGGCTTCCGTCTGTGCCCTGGAGTCACCCAACCCTGTGCCTCCCACAGAGGACACAATAAGCCCCGCTCATGGTGGGGTTTCCCGGGACAGAGCTTAGTGTGCAGGGGCTGCTGGGGTTCCTGCCTCGGGGGAGGAGGAGCGGGACTTGGTGTGCACAGCTGAGTCCTGGCGCGCATGGCCGGTACAGGGCTGAAGCTGGATAAGCCCTTCTGCCGAATCGGGGGAGCAGCCGCCACTGGGCCACCCTGGGAGAGATCACCTCTCCTTCTGCCAGCAGCTAGGCCCCTGCCCTTTATTAATTTAATTTAATTAATTATTTATTTATTTTAAAATAGGGTCTTGCTCTGTTATTCAGGCTGGCCTATAACTCACAGGGATCCTCCTGCCTCAGCCTCCTGAGTGCTGGGATGACAGGTGAGCACCGCCATACCTAGCTTTACAAAGTTGCACTCCTTTACATTTGCTGATTTGTAACTTCCAGGCAGGAGACAGAACAGTGGAAAAAAGGACAAGTTTGAGGGCCGGGGATTTAACTCAATGGTTCCGCCGCCTGCTTCGCAAGTCAAGGACCTGAATTCGATCCCCTGTACCAAAAAATAGACAAGCTGTAGTATTTGAGTCAGTGTAGCTCAGTGACAGGCGCTTGCTTAGCCTGTGGGAGGGTCTGGGTGCTGCCACCCCACACCACAAAAAAAAAGGTGTAACTGGAGGAGCCAGTACAATGCATAATATTTCAAGTGAAAATAAAATAAAGTGACTAGGAAAATGAAAGGATCTTGGGGGCTGGAGGGAGGTGTCTGGACCTGGGGACCTCACCCTGCCCTGAGCAGCTGGGCTGTAATTAGCTGCCTGGCCCGGAGCTGAGCATGGGACTGGGCGGCCTGCTGGGCTGTGGCACGGAGCCCATGGCTGCCCAGCCTGTGTCCTCTGAGGCCGCCTGAGAATTCAGACGTGAGCTATCTTTAGTTCTGGTCATGTTTTCCAGCCATTTTGACTTCTGCTGTTCTGGAAAATGGACGGGAGAAGGAGAACCCGAGACCCTCCGGTGTCCCCCACCTGGAAGGACGAGGCCGGGCTCAGGGTTCTCTGCAGGACGTTGTCCCCAGCGCAGAGGAGCGGTGGGGCCTAGACGGTGGCTTGTGGGCTGAGTGTCCAGCTGAAGTGCGGCTGGGAAGGCCCAGGGCCACCCCCGGGGGACGGCGTGGTGACCACTGCCGCCAAAGTGATTGCCCCACCAGAGGGAGGCTCCTGGCAGCCTGGCCCCCTCCGTGCAGGGACGACTGGGGTTTGTGTGGCCGCTGTCCATGCCGGATATCCCTGAAGGCACGGCAGGACACTGGAAGAGACCTTGGCTGTGCCAACCACTACCATTGTCCCGCAGGGAGGGGCTCGCTGGGTGGCATTGCTGCTGGTGCCAGGGCGGAAGTGGGGCCCAGGGCTGCAAGGCAGGACCCTGCTGCTCCTGTCGTCAGGGGACACCTCTGCCCCGACCTGCTGTGGTCACAGTGCCCCCAGGTCCCCTTTGTCACCATCCTTGAGATTCCAGGACCTGATGGACAGCAGGACAGAGACTCCACTAGGTGGCCAGCCTGGCACAGCTGCTTAGTAAGTGGTTAGGCAGGTGGATCCACTGCTGTGCACCTCAGTTTCCTCATCCCTAGAATGGGGACGATAAAAGAGAGTTGCTGGGAAGATCACACAAGTTAATACACGTACGATGCTTAGAAATGTATCTTTCTCAGGCTGGGCGTCATGGCGCGCACCTGTGATCCCAGCACTTGGGAGGCTGAGGCAGGAGGATCGCCAGGAGTTCCAGGACAGTGAGGCCCTGTCTCAAAGCAATCGAGAAAAGGCAAGACATGTGCCTTCAC